GGCTCGCCAATAAAAACACGTTGGGACCTCCTGCAAGGATGTTTATTTTGTCACACGGCTCTCTCCCCTTATGAAGGTATTATAATTAAGCTCATTTGTTATTTCTGCTCACAGACGGTTGCGGCGCGCAGGCGCGATAAGCCCTCCTGTATAGGTGGGTCATTAAAGCGGGGTTTTTGATGCGCACGCGACTCTCGCCCGCATTATCTTTTTATCGTTGCAACCCTAGAAGGGATTAAGTGAAGCAGAGGTAACAAACCTTTCGATGAATCGCAATTTTATTTTCTTAGTGTCCCTTCCTTGGCCTGCAGTAGTCGTATTTGTCAAATTTGATTATTTTCCAAGTCGCAATTAACGTATATTTGAGCACTTTTCCACCCGATAGATTATTAAAAAAAAGGATTTCAATTAACTGCAGTATCAGAGTTTTACGACCTCTGTATAGGTGAACAATGAGACTTGCGCGTGTCACCCGTGCGCCGTCGAACAAATATTGCATTACTTCGCCCCACGTGCCACGTGACGTCACAATCCATTGTTGTCCCCTACACATGGTCACCCCATGCGATAATCTCAATGAAATCGTGCAATAAGTAGCATTGATTTTTTCAAAGCTTTTTAATAACGTAGGTAACCGTTGGTGAACCTTTCGACCTCACTGTGACCGAGTGTAGTAAAAAGTTTTATTAATTCTACACTTTCAACTATATTTCTGCCATTTTTTAGGGCATACGCTCCGATAGATGCACCTTTGTGAAAAACTTTAGTAAGATCCTTAGGAAAATATAAAATATAAAGAGGGTTCCCCTCAGAATAATTATAACTCAGATAAGAAATGACTGTGCATTTTCAATAACTGACCCTTCTGCCCTCATAGCGTACACCTAAGAGTCGGCACAAGGTACCTAATGGGCCAAATTAATAATTTCCTTCGCGCCCGCATCCCTGATGCTGCGATAGCCCTTTTGTGTTTAATTGACGGCCATTTTACACTAATTCCGCGGTCGCAACCGTTTTGAACAATGACGTGTCGTTTTTAATTTTTTTGAAAAAGACACACTTTTTGATCGTGGTATGTTTCAATATTCAAATAGCTTTTGACAGATCTTCAGCAAGAAAATTATTTTAAATTTTTTTTACAAATCATCAAGACTTTTTAAAAGAATAATATTATATGTTTCGTATTATATGGGGTTCTGAAGTGAAACCACTTGTGTAGTGTGTTGCTCTGGAAGAGTTTATTATGCATTAGGTACTTATGACTAATAAAACATAATATTCAACTATAACTAAATTATTAAAAACATACCTGGAAGAGAAACAACATTTACAACTTAATTATTATCAGTCTACGATTGTTAAAAATGTGGAATATTCTAAAAGCACCACGAAAAACTCTACACTTGACACTTCTGACGCTTCACAGTAACAATCGTTATCGTATCCCACATAATAAAGAAAAGATAAATAAAGAGGTTTCCGAGATATTTCTTTATTTACATGTACTCAAATATATACGCTTCGAGCAAAGTTGAACAGTCTGATTGATGCCGACGAGCGATGGCGCGAGCACAAGCCACTCTTTCATCAGCTATTTCTGGTGATCTACATCAAGTTTATGTCGGATACAATGTCGCACGATGTACGCACTCACCTACCTAAACTACTCATTTCGATGGTATAGTGATGCGGTTGCCTAATCGATGGAATGGTCGCTAAAATTAGGTCACAAAACTATTGCATTCTTCAGTACGTATCAAAACGCGATATATTCCTATTATTATATTTAAAGTTAAAGTTTGTTTGTTCGTTTGAACGCGCTAATCTCAGGAAGTACGGGTTCGAATTAAAAAATATTGTTGTGTTGCTTAGAACATTTATCGAGGAAGGTTTATAGGCTATAACACATTGCCATGTGACTAATAGGAGCGAAGATACAGCGAGAAATGTGAACAAAACGGGGGAAATTTCTCATATCTCTAGGTTTCAGATGCGTTGTTGGTTAGCTGCGCTGCGAAAACGGTTCAAGATACCTAAAAATTGTATGTGGAAGAATGATTCTCCTATAAATGATCTAAAAGTCTGCGACGCTGTATGTCTATCTTTTGAGATTAACTTGCAAGAACGACGGACGAACGACGTCGTGGCTACCAGCTTAAGTTTATAAAGATGACGAGGTTTGCAACAACTTATTTGGATGCCCAAAATAACGATTCTCGCTGACGAAGTCGCTGGCACAGTTAGTTACTAAATAAAAAGTTGTACTAAATAAAATGTATATACATCTATATGTGAGATGTCAAATGTCTAAGAGCTTTAATTGTAACGTTCACGGTTGAGCCGTCGCTTAAGCGTGAAAGAGTTACCAATACTACGTATATTAATAATTATCAACAAAACAACCTGACTAATATAACATCACTAGCGTAGCCTAGGAGTACGTCAGACGCAGATCGGCGGGTTTTGCATAAAATCCTCATTTGTCACGGCACTAATGTCCGAGCCAGATCACTCGCGTTATGAGCGTGCACACGGCGGTTATATTAGGAATGTTTAGGATAAAGTGAGGTCACCGAACACTGGCCATGTTTGACACCATTAAAGAGGCCTTTAATCATTCAAATGCTATTAAAACGCCAGGTACATGTCAAAAGACGATTCGTTTTTCATTATTTTTGTTGCAATTGGTAATAATTGAATTCCATTTGAACTTAATTTCTCGTCACATACAATATTGTTTAAATATATGTATTTGGAAATCTTCAGACAGATACACCCCACGACCCCCAAATATTAAATTAACATAAACATTGAGAATCAAATCGAGACGAATCTATCACTGATCATTAATTCTGTTCCCTTTCAGGAGGGAATGAATGCTTCGCTAAGTGTGTTAGCGCCTTTATCTAAGGTGCTTTCGGATGAAAATAATTGTGTTATAAATACGGAATATTACGAGTAGTATTTGCTCATTCGGCGTCTAACGGATACGAAAGGGTTCTTTAAGGGTAGTTTTGCACGCGTTTTTATAGCGATAATCAAATTCAAATCATAAATTTCAATTACGTTTGGATACATCCTTAACGGTACATAACGTTATATGAAATTTAATTATAATAATAGTATGGGAGGGGGAGCAATAAAAACTATATATATATTTTAGCCATTTTGTGCCCTGCCCGACCGAAACAATGTATCGTATCCCCGGTATTCGAACCCAAAACCTACCGCGCTTAGCGCAATGTTGGCCAATACGTTTAACTAGTTACTTGCCTGTTAATAAAAAAAACTGATTGAAGCGTAAGCTTGTAGTGCCCATATAGAAATCACTCCGTTACGAGTTTGCTCCATAATAATCGAGAATCATACATATTATATAGAATGTTGATTGTGACCTTAAACTGATCCTATTTGGGGGTTATTACACAAGATAAAAGTGCTTACACTAAAAACTATTAAATATAGAAAATGAAGAATTATTATTAGAACAGCATCCCCCTCAGCAAAGACCCCCTTCTGTCTGACACGCGGCCGTTAAGTTAAGGTGACCGATCAAAGTGGGCGCGTTCCACTTGGTACTCTAGGTGTCCTTGATGCGGTTATTTATGTATTTCGTCATGACCCTAAGGTTATAAATGTTTATTGTACACCACTTTGTTATTTTATATAAACAAAATTCATGATCAGAATACTTGTTAGTAACAGTTATCCAAATAAACAATAATTATAAACTCTGTGTGTAAGTCGTAGTCTGTAGTGCAATGGGGAATAAAACATTAATTTTGCTTTTTAACGTGCGTTCCACGGGGGAACGTGGACCGTGGTTCAATCGATTATTTTACTTTAAATAACAGAGAAAGGGTGCTCGATGTTAGATAAACGCAGCACGGTGAAGATTTTTTGTATTGAGCATATTTAAGTTAATACACCTTATGATTGTCATACACATAGGTCATATACGCGTAGATATATGATATTTAGATATTTAATAAATATATGAGCCCCCTTTCAGGAGCTAACCATTTCTGCCTTTGGTACAATAATAGCGTTGTATATGAGTATATATTTGATACTTAATTTGAATTATTATCCCTACTTAGTTAGAATTTAAAATATATTTATTTCTTTTCAACTATTTCATCTTAAATCATGAAAGCTTTTCCCTATATGAGTGGTCTTTAAATTTTAGTATGTACGACTTTCGCAGGAACTACATTGAAAATAAGAGTGATAAATGTAGATTCGTATGGACAATAAAAGCACAGTAATAACGACTTCTAAAGTTATGATTACCCTTACCTCAGATTGTAGGGAGAGAACAAAAGCGAGGTGCACACGAGCGACGTGTGACAGATCGCCCGCGACGAATCATAACGCACTGTGCGAATGCGCCGTGCGGGTGTGTGCGTGCATATGTAAATGTGCGACCATTATCTAATTTGAACTATTTTCTTTTTCCACAAATGAATAATAGGAAAAATATCATACAGAATCCTCTCTTGTATTTATTTTATATTCTTCCATGTAAAAATTTCTCACAGTGCAAAATCACTCAATGCCGCCTCTCGTCACCCTTGCGTTCTACGCGAAGTATTATTATTAAGAGATTTATTGCGTGGAAAATTGCACGTATTGTTGTACCGCGACGCATATTCCGTGTCATAAATAATTTTTATGTTAATTACCTCGATCGTTACGTAGTTCTAACGTTCACAATTTTATAGAAAATGATAATGTTCGGCGCTAACCCTGTTTTTGTTCGTTGGTTTATTATTACTATTATTGGACTATTTTATACTGTCAAAAGTTTTTTTGATATGAGTATTTAGTTGTGACAGTGTTTAAACCTTTAGTGAGTATAACCATATGAATATGGTAATGTACCTAAAATAGATGAGTAGATTATATAATTTTTACTTCCTTTTGCATCTTAACGATAAACAGCTTAATACATTTCATTAAATCCACCTCTGGTCCCCAGATCGCAAAAATAATCTGAAATGGCGAATCAGTCGCGCCTAGCGTCCCTCCAGAGAACAATGGCTAAGCTAATACCCATAACAATGGTATCTGACGCGTTTCGCACGCACGAACAATCCGACAGTGTAACCCTAGCTTTAGTTCGATTTACCGTGATGCGTGAGGTATCAAAATGCGGCAGAGTATTTCGATTGTTTTTTGTTGAAGGTCGCTTCTTAAGAGAGATAAATATCATGTTATTATTTCTATCTCTCTCGATTGATTCCGAGAATCTAATATCCTTCACAAGTCAACCGCAACTAGCAACAGTTTCCAACTCCATCGACTGAACTACTCGTAGGTATATAAAAGTCGGTAGGAAATGTACACAAGTTAGTTCAATTCTCGAGCAATTACATCGATACTGTGCATCTGTCGTGCACTGGTGACGTCACGATACAGTATCGGACGCGGGATCTTTTCATTAAGGTTATCTAAATCGACACGTGTTTATATACGATTTCCGATCTTAACTTAACGATTAAATGTTGTAGGACATTTAAATTGTTTCTATTCCATTTATTTGGCTTTAAACGTGTATGTCGTAGATATTTACGTGGGTGTATTATTTCGATCTATATAATATTATAATGTACTAAGTAGGTAATCAAATGAACATGGCGCCCCATTTACCTCATTCAATTGGCCAGGTGAAGCCTTTGAAAACAATTATAAACGCTTTAAAAGGTAGTACAATAACACGAACCGCGTCTTTCTCACGGGCGAGAGGGTAAACGTAGGGATGGAACAATTAGGTCCACCCGCGGACCGTGTGGGTGCGCTGTGCCAAAGATTTTAATTTACGGCACACGTGCGTGCCGATTGAAGCCGCGTGCCACTGTGTATCGAGTGTGCACTTTCGCGAATATGCTGTGTAGGGCCTCTAGAGATGAACTGCTCTTTAGCGACCTCGATTACGGTATCAAGATTTCAACAAGAAAGGTTCCATTTTATTATGTAATACTATGTCAACAGTCGTACGATATATAAAGCCTTTAATATAAATCAAAGTGACTTGGGGGAAAACAGTTTTATATGTGTAGACAAAAATGCAAAGTTCCGCTCGCCATGGATGCTTTTTGATATCAAAGTGATTTCGTGAACGACGCCCACGCGTATAGAAAAAAAACCTAATCGATGTTTAAAAAACAGTCAACAAACTGGGCAGTTGACTCGAAGGTTTTTTTCCGCCAATAGAGCCGCGTCCGGTGGCCGGACGCGGTTCGGACCGGCGGGCCGGCCCACAACAGGAGCGCTTACCTTACTTTTTTATTTGTGCGCTGATTTATAGTTGTTTTGAATTCGTTCCGAGCGTGCCAAAATGCTTTCGACACTTGCAGGAAATCCAATTTTTTGCTCTTTTACTTATACCGGGGAAATGGTAGTTGGAAAATTTTCGGTTCGTGTAGAGCAATTGAAGTGTAGTGGCGCATGTTTGCCGCGTGGACGTCGGCCAATAAAAGGACCACTCGCTAGGACGAGTCCTCTGACGTTTTAGGAAATAAATACGAATAGATACCGCTATTTCTAATACAGATAGTGCAGCTCTAGACGTATTTACTAAAGTCCAATACATACCTTTTGTGAACGCAAACCTACCCGTTCCCATTCACAGTCGAACAAAGCGAGATAAAACTCGAGTGTTAAGATAGCAATCTCTACGAGCGGCACAAAGCAGCATTTTAAAAGAGAAACAAAATATTTTTCATTAGAGCACCGAACAATGACAATTGGATAGTACCTTCGGATTACGGACTTATTGCGCCTGCAATATCCCTCCGAAGAATAATATGTCTTTATAACGGATCTCGCGGCTTTCCGTGCCTTACTTCTTACACATTTTTCAGTAAAATACGAGCTCTTCTTACGGTCCAATCCGAATGAAGCATATCGTTTTATGCTCTATTGTTATCGTCGTAAAATCTGCTTCACCTTGGCTGGACGCTTGAAGAATAGATTGCATTGTCTTCGCACGTAAATCACGGTGAAATAAGACGGCAACGGACGCACATTTTAATATGGACTCTATCGTGAATAGTCTAAAATGTAAAATGGATAGTACCAGATTCACACTTACGACGTAATTTTGTAGAGTGAGCAAGTTTCACGTGGTAAAAGGTCACTCTGCCCGTGACGGACGAATTAAATCTAGAAAATGAAAAGCTCCAAACAATAACTTAGACTTTTGAACTGTCTAGCTACGTGTTTTGTATTTTTAATAAATAAAGGAATGGGTACACTTAAAGTTTACTTGAAGAAATATTTCGTTTCAAGTTATGTAATTAAATCTGAATGTTTATCGTTAGACATTCCTGATTTACTATTTCTCTAGATATACTCGTAATAGTATGTTTGTAGCACCCTTGTATAAAAATCTCTGAAACCGTCTACAAATAAGAACTTATCCCTACCGTAATAAAAAAGAAAGCGCCCAGCTACACCTTAATTCGATAAACATAATCTTTCATTTGGCCTCATCTTTACGATTTCTTTTGTCTTTTTCTCCCTTTAATGGTTTCATGTTGCTGTCTCTGTCGTATAAAGGTGCGTTCTCGGTGTGCTCGAGCCATTTTGATCAGTAATGATGATTGGTCCGCTTCGGTAAATTGAAGGTGGCGTCGACACACGAATTCACTTAGCGACGGCCACATGTTATGAGACTAACGACGGATATTAATCGCTATCAACGGTCTTCTGGATCTTTTTTCTTTATTCTGCTATCTTCTCCTCATGGTTGCTTAAACTTGCAGTTATTGGTCGTTGTTGAATCAGCATAACTAACTTTTTAAAAGAATTTCAAGAGTATCCAAATATTTAACAGGATATGGTGAAGTAGAAAAATAAGATGATTAAATAATAAAAAGGAGAGACATTGGTAAAGGTAAAAATACTTTATATTTCTACTATATAAAGTCAGTTGTACATGAGCCTTAAGGAGTATAAGTATTTACCTACTTACTATGAAATGTACTTGATAACCCAAAACAAACGGGTAAACCCGTCATTACAATCAATAGCTGCTTATAAACGCGTCATTAGATTCTAATGGATGTGTTTACGATATCGTCAATAGCCGAGATATTCGCGGCTCTAAGTTATGCCACACAAGAAATTAATGGCACGGCAAGATATATGCTGTGTATTGTTCGCGTTTCAATACTATATACAAATAAAAGGTTATATGAATCTCGCTTTTGTCCACGCGTTAATTCACATCCTAATCGTTATATCCACGCCTTCGTGTATGAGAACACCTTTTAAATAATAAACTTAATAAAATGGTCTCTAACTATCTTAAAGTCGAATATCACTTATCACAACAGATTAGCCACACATTGGCAACGCAAGGAGCTAAAATTTTAATCTCATTTCGAAACGATTCGAGATTCAATTCAAAATCATTCGAACGTACTTCAAAGTTCAAACTCACGTTCATTTGTCACAGTTTCCGCTTAACTTGATGTGTGTTCCGAACTCAAACAGATCGCAGCTTCATTTTCGATTGTATGTTTAGCAGCACAAGACTGACTGTTGTTGAAAACATAAGGATCGGTTATGTTATTTTGGGGGTATATTTGCACACTGCAGCCACGTGCCTGCCGATCGTCACAATTAGTTTCATTCATGGCTCGTCTTTCGTGACGGAAGGACGCGCGCTGCATCCGACGCACTTAACGTGATGGAAATGAATTGCAGAAATTAATCGCCGGTAATCGCTATCTATTGTACGAAAATTTCTATGTTAGGGGACCATATTTCCATAAACATTGTATTGTAAAATCAAAAAAGCCATCTCCTATATATTTTTTCCGAGTCTTTATTTTATTATATTCAAATTTACACGAGCCTCCGCTCTTCCTATGAAACAGCTCGGCAGCATTATACGTATATTTAGTTCGCCGTGTGCCAGAAAGTAAGTACCATCTGTCAAGCGGTGTGTTTCATAATAGTCATTGTTGGTTGGCGTAATGACTAGAATAGGCAATACAATATTGATGGATGTGTTGGCAACTGGCCACGACGCCCTAATACGTATTATACGTTTGAGCATTTCATTACAGTTATGCTCTTTCAAATTTTGTTTATTGCTTTTTCGTATGGCTTTGTTTAAATTAGGTAACTTGCTTTTGGACGGAATCCACGTTTATTCGTGTTTCACAGTATTATTCATTCGTTCCCAATCAGCTGAATTTGTGAATCTACACCACAAACAATTCGACTTTAAGAACTTACTGCATTTTTTAGAACATGCTATAATTGCTTCTTTATGTTTATGACCAGAAATATTTAACAGAGGTTAATATATGAAGATCCAGAAAATAAATAGTAAGTTTACAATTTAATATTACTCGCAGTGAAGGTAAGAATTCCAGAAGACAGAGATTCCTTCTTTATATCATATTATTTTTCATCTACCTGCACATGATCATCAAAACACGCCCGCAAAGCCATCTACATTAAAAAAGGAGCTCCATCATATCACACCGTTTCGTGAAAATAAATATCTTTCGGAATACACTTGTATACCAACAGAGTAAGGTGCACTTTACGTCGCTCACGTAGTGGTCAGTTTTAGGAACGCAGTTGGACAAGGAAAATGAGACGTAATACCAGGTGGTTAGGTTTAATTTTCGCTGTCAAACGAGAAGATATTAAAAGCATCGGGCAACAAAATGAACTACGGAAGATGTATGAGCGCTTGGATTAAAAATATTTGTACGGGCCATTATACATGGTGTAATGAAAGCTCTAAGCGAGCTTTATTAATACAGGATGTAACATTAATTGAAGCCTCAATACAAATTTGACGGAGGTTGGACATTTTAATTTTTGTTATTAAAGGACGGTGAAATTTATGTTAGGTTTGCTAATAATGTTGGTCTTTTGATGTCACGTGTTTGGTTATTTTCGAAATATTGTATTAAAACAATCTCAGTCGTTTTTTTACGTATGCCATGAAATTCCTTCGCAACTATCCCATCGTCGGTGCGTTGTAGATAATGATTCTTAAATATTTATTAAAGAATAAGAAAACCTAGATTCAATTAATTTAGAGCCAGAGATATAAGTATTGTCTGTGGTTTACCGCGTAACTTATTTTACATACATACTTATCGAGTATGACTTTTAAATAAAATAGGTACTTTTAACTTTTTAAATCGAAACCAAACGAAAGATAAGTTATTGTTAAATAGAGCCCGGACTCGAAAATGTTGCCTCAATGTGGATATTTTATGAACAAAATCCTAGATGAGTCTTTTATTTAGCTCGCATTTGATATGCAGGTTCGGTCTGCGGAGGCGTGCGCGGGCATTCATTACGAAGCCCTAATGAGTCGCGCTCGCCAATCCCGCAAAGATTAAGGCAGGAGATGTGGCAGTTCTTGAGCTTTATGGCAGGAGTCTTACTTAATAATCAATAATCGCATTAGTCGACTTTGAGCCGAAAAAATACTATAACTGGCTGGGTAACCCATCTGTCGTTTAAGGGTGTATTAGAAATTTTCTAAAAAAGTATCAATTTGAGACGTATTTTTACTGGCTCGCAGCAACTTTAACGTAGAAAATAAAATTATAGCTCACAAATGGTTTATAGCTATATTTTGCCCCGTGTCATTCGCGTCCCGTCGTTCTTGCAAGTTAATATTAAAAGATAGATCTATCTATACTGTAGGGTATCGGCTATCATTATGGAGAATTTAAAGAGGAATCATTCTTTCATATATATTTTATCTCTATCTTGAACCGTTTTCGCAGCGCAAGCAACAGAAATCCTCAAAGATGAATAGTTTTCCCCGCTTTTTCCACATTTCCCACTGTTTTGGTTACAGCGTGATGTTTTATAGGTTTCCTCAAAAAATACTCTAACCAACACAAATATAATTTATCCTGGAATAAGTTCAAACAAACAAACTAACTATTCGGGTTTTTTAAATTTGTTTAAAAAATTTTTTAAACTGCCTACTTAAATTATTAAGTTGGTCAGTCCAGGAAATAGGTAGACGCAGCACATCTGCCAGCCTTGCTCTGTGGCAATATTCAGCACATTAGCACCTTTTAAGGCTTTAAAGGCACTCAGGGCTGTAATCACGCGCCCGCGGCGTGCCGAGCTTATCACACGAGTCTTTCTTGTGAACAACTCTGAAGCGCGCCTGCGTTGGGCTTCATTTAACCAGCTTTCAAACGGCTAAGCCATTTTTTGCTTAAGGCAAGTGATACATAAAAATCATACATATGTTACAAAAGAGTTTTTAACCGGATTCAAAATAAAAGAAGCGTAGTTAAATGTCCGACTTATGTATTATATTATCTCGAATTTCTATTAAACCTTATTTGATTAATCGAAATAAGTATTACCTACTCACTTTTTTCCGATATATTTCGTTCACTTTGTTATGTATTGTGTAAAGTTTAACGCTAAGTTAGCTAAAACTTGAGTTAAAAAATATTATTTTACTTTGAAATTTTTCAAATGTGTCATACTCCTACAAGTCATTTGTCAAGGTCGCAATTGTATCTATATTTTTACAAGCATGGGGTTTACCTTATGGTTGGTGAAATACCCCAGCGATAATGACATCTAAACAAGAACACAGCACTGTTGACTTATTTTGGCTTTGGATATTCGGAAATGACTGAAACGCGATTAAGCTTCAGGTTTTTTCATTGTGGGTGGTGGTTCGTTCCGGGCAGTATTTCTATATTAATTCCACCTATTTAATATCCAGATCTCATTAATTTACAGAAATTTAAATTGAAAACTTAGAAAACGTCGGACACTGGGGATGGAAGGGACGTGATTATTAGCAAACATTGTTACTACTATTAGCAACGGGCTCGTCAAAAATTTCTGGATAATTGGAAAATTCTAATCAGTTTCCTATGTTTTGTCGAGTATTTTATTGTTGTAATTGTAAGTTTTCCATGTGTATAAATAAATAGGTTAACTAAAGACAATCATAAATCAAACGTGAAAGTTATTACGTCGGGTACAGAACCCGATTACCGTTCGCAAAAACTTTGACATATTGAGCTTAGGGAATGCAATAAAGCGGGAGGTATGGTTGAACATTTTTTACCAACATCACCTCGGTAATGAACTTCGTGAGGGCAGAGGTTAGATGGGCGGCAGATTTATCTCAGACATATATCTGTGTATGCTACTTAAAATCTGATATATCTGTGTATCTTAACAAAAGATATTTTATTAAACTCAAAATTCCTTAAGGCGACACCTTAGTTATCATCTCTGTGGTCTGAACCTACACGACAAGAACAAACAGCTGAATAGAAACGTTAAATTCAGATTTTCTTTTATTGTAAACAAAAATGCGACAACATAAATATTGGTTCCTAATTAACAAACTCGAAACTCGCACCTACGAATTCGGTTACAAGGTTAATACAATAATTATAATTTAGTAGCAGTTTCCTCTATACGATTTCCCACTTTCTTTGCGTCGCTAAAATATCGTGTCCGGTTCTTTGATGTGTATTCGTAGGTGCGGATCAGACGTGGAATTGTTAGGGTTCCTTCGATAACAATACGGCTCCGAGAGTTTCATTCCACGCTTTTAAAGATTACATAAGAGACTGTTTTATTTTATTTCTTACTATTAGTAACATTCTCCATTGTTTATTCTAACAAGACACTCGTTTGTTATGTAATTAAATATGCTCTCCTTAAAATTTGATTATACTCACTACGGAACCCAAATACCATTTTTTCCACTAAAATATTATTTATGAGTTCTAATTCCTATAATTTGTTAGAACGGTCGCAGTTAGCGTCCGCGTCGTGCCAAATTCACGTTGTTTACTGAAAGGTGCACTCATTTTTATTACTCGTCATCCTCGCGATAATAAATTAAATTCGTTCACTTTTTGATGTTAGCCCTAATTCATCCGGGGACAGTCGTAAGCTAGACATATGAACGCGAAGAATGTTATTGGATTGCTGATGATAAAGATGATTTAGCCTATCTTCACTAAGTTATTAATATCGAGTTTCAGTGTGAAGAATAATATCTAAAGTACGCGTACGCTTTGAATTTTATTCTTATGAAAGATAAAGAAAATATTCTTCTTTAAATGTCAGCACAGGCTCTACCTAGCGAAGTTTATGATAATAGTGATCTTAAGAACTGTTTAAAGAGAAGTCGCTTCGTCTCTGTTCCGAGCAGTTGTAATTATCGTTGTGGTGTATAATAAAGTCGTAATGAGACATTTTTCCGAGCGAACACTGCTGTAATGTGTATCGCATTAACCCGCGGTGTGGGCACAGTGCGGGCGGTTTGTCTCTATGTAGGTCCAAGTAAATCAATGTACAGAACAAAAACAAAAGGTACAGAATGGAAATAAGATAAAACATACAAATAAACTTAGTATGTACCTACATGTGTTACGACACAATAAGACATGTCATAAAGTAGGAAAAACTGACTAGAACCCTTATTCTTATTAACTTTTAAGTTCAAATTGTGGAAACGTGAAGTTCTTCGCGATAATAGTTGTCGTAACATAGTAATCATAATAATTTTCACACGATAGCCTCTTATATATTTTTTAGAAACATCACAAGTATCGCATTGAGATCCGCTACATTACTGACTCCACACCATATGATAAATATCTTGGCTTCGTTATAACAAGTGTTGTTTTTGTAACAATTTACAAGCGTCACGGTATACTTAATTCACAAAGTAGTCCCGAATTGTTACTTCTCGTTATTCACAAACTTGAACTACATTAAACTTACTCAGCCCGAACCGTCCTGAGCCAGTCAGAGGACAGAAGTTTATTTATAAAACAGACATACAAATGTGTCCACCCATATCCCAAAATTTCTACTTGTTTTATTGTATAACCGTTATAGAAGCGGCTAAGACAAACAATTTACTTGTACAAACAACTGTGTGGCTTGAGGAATGTCTATAATAAGTAATCTAGTTTAATCAATGTTTCTTCGTTATCTATATCGTAAATCTCGCATTCGTCGGTATAAAGTTTTGAGATTTTGTATAAATCCATTATTTATTGATAAGTGTAGGTACACCCGACTTTGCTTGTTTGTAGTTTACCCAAGCGGTACACATATAAAATAAGTCAATTTCAGTAGTTTAAATTTCGAAAATATATTTGTTTCGTTAAATGTCAGTTGACTAATTGATTTAGCGTTTTAAGACCTTAAAATGATATACATTTCGAGATTTGAAAAAAATCAGTGAAGATTAGGAATGGGTTGTCCCGTCGCCGAAAAATATTTACAGTTCATATAATATTTCACCGCAATCATGTCCGATGCAGATCAAATACCGGGGGTCCACGTTGAGTGCAGGCTGTCCACAAACAAGGGCGAAAGTATTTAGCGTCGAGTGTTTGACGAAGTTAAAGCTAGTGCGTATACCTAGTGTGTATACGTATCGGCAAAACAACAATCAGTATTTCTATGAATTTATATCGACATTCAGATAAAACATTTAAAACGCGTGATTATTCAATACTTAATTGTGGAGGTAGGCACTAATCGCGTATGCAGACCTACTACACTATCGATTAGTTTATCGAATGTTGCCTTATAAATCTTTAGAACTACCATAAATTATATAAAAATAACTGCTCTCATTAAACTTGTAGGAAAGCTGTAAAATATTTAGAATCTTGAAAAGAAACAAAGCACTTGGCCTCTCGGATAAAAATAGCTTTAAATATGCTTCGGAATACATTGCTATGCAAAGGTAGAAAGTGCTCGAAGCCATGCAACATTTACAGCTCGAAATAAGTTACAGTTACTGCTGCAAAGCTAAAGCTACGTTTATGAACGGAGCGGACGCGGTTTAGCGATTTAAAAGGGCCCATATGAGTCAAAACCAATTATTTTGCCCTCGTTATTTCCATGCCAGAGGTTGGTCCCGTTCGTTCGGCCTGTTCGTCTGCAATATTTACGTCTTATATTAATAAGAGTGTAATACTCGTGTACTTTTTAAACTTGCGCGCGCTCACGCTGTAGTGTCCTCTGCCTTTGAGTTTTATGAAGCAGAGCGCAAACACTGTGAGGTACAGTCGCGGTATTAACTTGGCACCACACTTTTATTGCACCTCTCCGCTCACACGTACTGCAATTTTAAACTAGATTGATTCTTTACCGCATATCCTTTATAAACCAAAGTTATATTTATGTAATGTGCAAAGTTATATGAATAGTTTTCCGTAGCTACATAAGAAAAAAAGCTTTTTTGTCTCAACTAACCTTTAAGAACCTGAATCTTATTATAGTACCTACTTGATATATTTTAAAGCGAGAAGAGAACAAATAAATATATTATACTACCGAGCTACATGTATTCAATTAGTTAAGTCGAAGAAGGAACATTCCGTAAGCGCATTACGGCTTAGGTAAAACTAGACACCTAATTACGAGCACTAAAACGGAGCTAGACTACCTAAACTCGTAGGTAATGAGGCGCTCAAAGGAAGGGAGCGGGAGCCACCCACTGAGCAGGGCCGAATCTCACGCGAAAAACGTGATTCCAGAGGCCTAAGAAGACTTATCACGTCGCCTTCTATAGAGTGTGCCTTGATAGGTTACATACATATTAAATTGGCTGAGTACTATAATAATAAAATATCAGGTTATGAATTGACAATCATTGATGACTGCGAAGTGAGCGTTGACAACTTAAAACATAAAAAAACAATTTTTGCTTTTGCAATTAGGTAATTATATTGAAATTAGTATAATGTAGAGTCACAACGACCGGTCCGACGCTAGCCTGGCCTGTTATTACAAACAAACTATATATCTAAAGATAAGAGACTAAAGTAATACGTACTTAAGAAAAAACAATTTTAGATTAATATGCGTACTGAAGACAAAATCTAGCATAGTAATAGAAAGAAAATAAAAGGTAAACACAGGCCCCGATTTCAGCGCACACAGCAGTCTGTGTCTGGGCCACAAACGCTGCCTCCATCTAATTATGAAAGAAGATAGAGTGGCAGCATAATGTCACTGAGAGGTGAATTTTAAAGGCTTTCGCTCAAAGCTTTGCTGGAAATACACTGATTTTGTTGTCATTGAAGATTATAGACGATGAACGCTTGATTAGGTAATATAATTTAGTGAGACGTTGTTTACGCGCTAATTAAAACTGCTTTATATTCGATTCTATCTGAGTACATTTTTTGTATGCGATGGCCCGGTAAAACATGGGGCACTATACACACTATAAAACGTACATTTAAATTATGGATTCTTCTTCACCCTACAATGAAACGGTCAAATGGTGCAAATTTCTTTAAAAGCATCCAGATTTGTGCAGCCGCCACCTCAAGGTCGTCAGGGCGCGGCGCTCTAAATTTAGCTCACCTCAAGAAAACATCAATCGCTCCAACACATGCGCACAAAAACCACAACCGATAACGGCCACCGCACGCGAGGAGACCGCGGGCTACGTGCACCGACACGTCAGGTGAAGGCACCGCTCGTTGGCACATTGTGCACCTGTCACCTGGACACACCTCAGCCAATCACCGCGCAGCACACCTGCGCAGCTCAATAAAATGGGCGTGGCCTGATAGCGCGGTACCTGCTACCTGTGAAGACAGGTGGTACCCGGTTGGTCGTTTCTCTTCCAATCCGAGGTTACACAGGTGAAAGGACAGGTGGGCAGGCTCGATAGGACAGCTGTACATAGCGTTAGGGCTCCGATAAGTTTGATTTAGTACATAATGTACCTATAAGTATCGTCTTTGCTGGTAATCCGTTTCTTTTTGTTCGACATATTGTAATAATGTTAGTCTCAATAGTTTCTCTTAAGTTTGTTCTACATACCTGTCGAAACGATCTTCTCTCTCTCGGAAAGGTGAACGCAAAAATAAAAAAAAGTGTAATTTTAATAAACCAACATAAAAACGAGCTCTGAGCGCGCAGCCTCGTCCATAAACATCTACCTAGAACACCTAAGGTCGTATATAGCGGGCTGATTACCGGGGTAGGGAGGTGTGAGGCGCTGAGGGAGTTCCTCGCTCGCGAGTAAATGATCACGGCTTTACGATTATACATAATATAGATGAGCTTTCTTTGAGCGTTTCGTGAGAGGCTAATCTTTCAGTGTGCATGTGATAGTGGTTGAATGTTTTTGTTGTCTACTTCTAACCTTAACAAAAAAAACACAATCTAAAGAAGACATTACTATGAGGTTGATTGACTTAAATGTATGCTTAGGAAGGGCCAGTACGACCCTATTACTCGATCCAATCTCAGCGACGTCTTGAAGCCAACAATATTATTCTATAGGTGGTTCTAGCAATTTAAAATTTCTCAACAAGAAACGCTGGAACTTTTATATCCGCGCTTGTTATAACTTGTTTACCTTTCAGCTCGCGAGTTATAACTATGCCTACATGTTTTATATACTGAAATAACTGGTCTCTTCTTGTATTAATATTAACTAGTGAATACTGATTCTCGTAACTGTATTGTTTTTAACTTGTTCGATAGGAATCTGCGATATTCTTGTGATTACGGTTGTTTTATGTATGTACGTTTATGTTGTGATATGTATATACGGTTGTTTTATGTTTTATGGGAAAGTTACTCTTAGACAGGTGCTTAGTGGTATATAGTACGAGCATAGTGAAGCGTTTGTATAAAAGCTAAGTTGAGGCGACAGCACGTCGGAGTTCATTTGCATAACACAATCCGCTAAGTGTCAGAAGCGGAGTAAACACATCTATCTGCCCACACTGCCCACCTAGATGGAATTGCACGAATGATATTCTTGTGGACTTTTTTCACGTTTTTCTAATACTTACTTTTACTACTACTACAGTTGTATTTGTTGACTACTTGTATACATTCGTCTTATATTCATACCTAGGTAGAGGTGTAGGAAGAGATGATACATTATGTTATTTTTAGAGGAGGACTACCCTCAATGCCAAGTTAACTTGGCGTGACGACATTAACGTGTGACGTAGAAGTTAACAGCCCGAAACACGCAGCGTTTTAATAATACTTGTATGAATTAAGGTCTTCGAAAGAAACATTAGTTACTTACATTTTTCACTGTCTTCTTCAAGACGACACCGTGTGAATATTCACCATTATATCAACGAAGCAACTTACGTTTTTAATTGTAACCCACATTGAGAAAGTTTCTCAGCGACAATCCTCTCGTCCCGAATTCATTTGTAAAAGGCAACTGAAAAAGGCAACGTTTTTTCATTCGTTTGCGAATGAATATGAAAACCGTAAAGTTAGCACCACAGTCTATTTAACATACTGCAGTGAAATTTTCACATTTTGTTAGCATCGGTTTATTTTTATTTACTTTGAATTATGCAGAGGTATATAGTAAAGCAAACAAAAAACCTTAGCTACTTGGGGTTTCTAGTCGTTTGGTCGTCGTTTTTGAAATAGTTCTCGACGTTTCGTCATAGCGAGTCGAAGAAATCTTTTATTGACATCTTCGCAAAATGGTCTCGAAACCCAATACAATGTATAAATGAAATACAAGAATTAATACAATCTTGTTATTTTTCCAATTTCTCCTCTGAATGTCATATACTATGGTGATAGACGACACCCGACAGCGGCTGCGTAATCATCACGTAGGTGTTTGGAAAATCAGAGTTAGCCCTGAGCTTTAGACAAAACAGCTTTCCCTTGGTTTTATATATCTACCTACATTTATTAGAAGCAGCAACGAGTTTTATTAATATTCATTCGTTCGTTTCGACGCCGTAACTTTACTTTGTTTGGTGTAAAAAAAGTCATGTTTGCATGTAATTTAAAAATAATCATATCTTTCATGACTAGATCGCGGTGTTTTATAATTCCTACATAGAAATACGTAAAACCTGTATGTAAGGGAAGTGTCAGGATAAAATTGCTTTTCAATATTCGCTTTACGACTAGAATCTAACAATGTCTGTAATCGTGGAGTGCAATAAAATAGAAAATAATACGAGAGAGCTGCGGATTGGAAAACTTAGTTCGTTTATGGCTTTCCAAGTTTCAGCTATTTGTCGTTACGTTACCTAGCGCACTGCAAAACTTATGATAGTAAAATGTTATATTCCCGGTCGGAAAGAGGCGAACAGAATTGTTTCTAATGAGAATCATACATTTTCTTAATACGTTATGTTTTTTCCTAATCCGAAGTTCATATTTTAGGTAGTTAGCTTTTCCCCATAAGTAGAATCAATTAAACGGATACCTTGAAAAAAGAAAATAAAGCAAATAGTGTTGTACCGTGAGAGCCGTCGATGCAATAAGAAGTCCGAGGTATGGGCCGCACGTGTGTCCGCACAAAAAACACGCCTTAATAAAACGATGCCGGGGGGCTAGTGTTGTTCGCGTATCGATAGGTGCCCTGTTGACATTGACAGACAATAAAGTGTCGTATGAACAGGGAAACTATATAGTCTTTTAGTACAGGAATAAAATCAATTTATACTCACTAGTCTAATAAAGCTGTAGAGCCTGTTTAAAGGCACCAATCTCTGAAACTACTGGATCTAATTAAAATATTGTTTGTGTATTTGTTGGACCAATTATCGGTCAGACAATATGCGAGCCAAGAAACAGTGAGAAGCTAGTGTTTTTATATGATTAGAATTATTTATTTTCGAAAGAAACATCAACGCTATAGTATGCTAGCCAGATTCAAAAGATCAGTTAAGAATTAAAACGGAAATTCTGATTAGTTTTTATTGGGATTCAAGGTGCCATAAGTGGAGCATCTCTTAAGTTTGACTTTACTCGATATAATGTGCCTCACCAATTCAACACAACACTACCGGCCTCGGGCGGGTTTAATTACACGTCGCGGGCGACAGGTTGTCGCGTGACGTCATCGGTGCATGTGTAGATGTAGAGGTGGATGTAGGTATACATATTGTTCACATATTTTAACGGTTTGAGTTTAATAATTATTTATATCGCCCGTGGACCATGTGTTGAGAGGAAAACAAAATTATTTTTTGATTTAAGTTATTGAATTATTTGTTTACCGCATAATTCGTAACTACTTAAATGTTAGTTGACAGGCGTTTTCTATTGAATAGGTGACAAAAGGGATACCATTGTTTGTGAATGTAGTCAGTTTTAATATAACACATACTTGTACTTTGTGTATTTAAAAAAGCTTTAGGTATTTCTTCTCTTGATGACACTTTAAGAAACACATTAAATGCAGAGCTTTAAGTGAAAGGAATACAAACCGGATCTATATAAATTAAAAAACAAATTGGAATAAAAAATAATTAGAGCACGGGCAGGACCTATGTTTAGTGGTTATTCCGGATGACTATATTATTATTAAGCCAACGGTGGATTACATTTATCGAGAGGAAAAAGTTTATACGATACCCTGCAAAAACATTATTTGTAGTGACTACACTATTTTATTTTGAAAGCAATGTTTTTCTAAGATTTTTTATAGGTTAACAATATCCCGAAAGCTCCTCGAAAGCGCGATCGATGCCTAAATGTCTCTGTAGATCTTTCTCATCATATTTTGTGTATTGGAAGTATTCCTCTCGCACCCTTAGTTATCGCCCACTATCACCAGGTCACGACCGGTACCTTACAAAAACAGGTTGATATTCTTTAGCCTCAATAAATTATATCCACAAAGATAATAGTGACAAGTGTAAAGATAAAATGCCGCTTGTTTATTTGTATCTAAGGTACACGCTCACATTATTTGTGTTATCGTAATATTGTGCTGTGGGATGGGAATGAAAATTACTCGGTAGATTTATTTGATCGCTTTAACATATACTTAAAATGAGATGTATCCAGTGAAGGAATTAGAAAGTTTGATGATGACAACCACAATAGATAGCTTAATTTTTCGTCGTTTTCGAGTTTAATTATTCGTTAAGTCGTTACAGTAAGTGCGGGTGAGTGTGGGAGGAAGTGGGATGACCGGGTCATCGGTTATCTCAACCGTAGGTGCAGCCGAAATTCTGAGTAGCAATAAATGTACAGTCGCGCATTTATCAACGGGAAATTCCGTTTACAACATTATTATTTTTGGGAGTAATTGGATTTAAAAAATATAAAAGGGAAAATCTCATTACGTTTACAATACGGATTATTATGTAGGTACATCGACCATTTTGAAGTGCGGCGTCAATTTACAAAGTTCACCTCTTCAGGTAAACGCGGCTCTCTAAAGACTATTAATTTACGCATAAGTCAAACATTCATATTGACCTCTATTACCATTGTGTAAAGACTAAAGTTGTAAAAAGGAAGCATTCTTTTTTCTTAGTCCTCGGTATGAAAAATATTGGAATTTAAGTCTTATTGAATCATGACAACGAAGATTTTTGTTTACGCAGTTCTGTTGTAGTCGACTGATGCTACAAATAATGTAAAAAGTCTGGTCCTGCCCATATGTGTTTCGAGGAATTTAGTACCTTATTAATGACTGAGATGGGGTAAAGAGACGCCGCTGCGAGGTTAACATGCTAATCAGTTA